TAATGTCATTTTCAACAATTTTTTGCTTATTATTTCATGTGCAATGGCACTTATTTCATCGTTGCTTTCAATTGTACAATTACCAAACAAGAAATGCTTGAGTACAAAAAAAGAGACACGTGCACACATGCGAAAAAGCAGAAAAAATCGAAAAATTCTCAGAAAAACAACTACTTATAAGGGGGGTCTTCTAATCTGTCTTTTGCTTCGCTCTCTCTTGGGGGGTCTTCTAATCTGTCCAGGGCTTTAAGTCAACTGTATAAAATGAAAGACGACTTATTATTTTTTAGTTTAATAGCTGCTTTTTAGGTATGCATCAGTTGCAGTTAAAAAGCAATTAACTAAACTGTAGAACTGGTACGGTTAAGGGCACCCTCCTCTTTTTGACAAAGTTTCCAGTTGGGAGTTATGCCACAGGAGGAGGAAAGTCTGGGCTACAAAATGAGTCCATCTCCAGCATAACACGAAACTTTCCTGGAAAAAGTTATAAATTCTTAAAGTTTTTCTAAAGCGGCTGACGACGTCAGCTTGTAGTTTCGTAAATTTTTCGCTCCTTTTCAGTGCATTCAGAATTTTTTCTTATACATTGTCTCATAGACCAAGGTGTTTTCTTCATAATCAGACAACTCCCAGTATTTTTTGGGCTTTTTTCTTTCTTTTCTTTTATATTTATTGACAAAAAAATAATAATAAGACAAGGTGTTACATGAATTGTGTCAAAGGGGGTACATCAAAAAGCATAAGGACTTATAACAACAACAAAAAAGTTGGGGTAGACATACACCTGATAGAAAAGTAATATAAATGTATATATAACAGATCAGGACGAACTCAAATACAATTTTAAAGCGCTTTTAAAAGATTTCACATTAGGTGCTGAAGCAACATACAAAGATAAATTATTCCAATCAGAAGAAGTAGAGTAGAAAAAGGAATATCGAACATTAGTTCGAGTGGTAAACGGTACAACGACACCCAAAGAATTCAGACTTGCATTAAGTCTATCAGAGTGCATAGAAGATGAAAAATACGATAGTAGTTGACTAGACGAAAATAGAGACGGCGATTAGTCAAATTAGGAAGGCCCAAATCGTCAGTAAGTTTGACACTATCTGTCGTATAGCTGAGTTATCAGCCGAGCTGCAAGTTTTTGGACAGACTCAAAGGGTTTAGTGTGCGTAATAAACTTAGTATCAAAAACTGCGTTGCCATAACCAAGTTTGGCCAAAACGGAAGTTTTGTAAAGGTGAAGACGAAGAAAAGTCGAAGCTGCGGCAAATTGTCTGTTTATAGCACCTAACATACGATGACAAGCTAAAGCAGTTATTTCAAAATGAGGTTTCCAGCTTAGATCGTGTGAAAAATACAAATCCAAAAGTTTCGGTGTATTTTCATATTTGAGAGAGTCTCCATTGATGCTAAAACTGATAGAAGTAGGAGGGTAGCAGACAAAGAGAAATATGTCCAATGACACTTGTCAGAACTTAAAGACGTAAAATTGCAATCACACCAGTTAGTAACGCGATCTACTTTTTAGTTTGACCGTATTCAAACTATCCTGTTTTTCGAATGTACAGTTCAAATATTGGTCATCAGCAAACAAACTATACAGTACTGAGAACGAAGTAGGAGATAATAATGTCAACGAAACTATTTTCGTATTTTCGGGCTGTAATAGCTCAGAGAGTTTGTTTTTACGTATAAATTTTTTCTGGTAGTTATGATCAGTCTCGATTATAAAATGTTGCAGTTTTAACTATGACAGTTTTAGAGTTCTGCTGTTTTGTTAGTTTGGAAAGAAGAAGAAATAGGTTATGCAACAGTTACGGTTGACCGTGTTGCATACCTATATCTTTGTCTCTCATCTTCTTCTGGCAACTAGTTTCATATGAGCGAAAAACAAAAATACTTTTAGTCGAATAGTAACTTGATTTCTAGAATCAACTTTTTTAACCACGCAACTTGTGCGTAGTGCAATTGCAATCTAGTTTTTAATTGTTTGTTCTATTTTGATAAAAGTCTATTGAAATAATAGTTAAATGGTAGACGGTACAAAAAAAATTATGAGTAAAAAATTATAAATAGAGTGGAAAAATATACGAACCATTGTCATAAATAGTGACCCATTTTCTGCTATTATATTCAACAGAAAATAATTATGGAATAATTCCAAACTCAAAGTTCCCACATAGGGTCCGTCTATGACGTGGCACCGAAACTGGGAATTATACGGCCTATGCTCATGATGCCGTAGTCAACTGCAATGAAAATTACTTTTTTGTTTATTTCCATTGTTTACTATGCCGCGTTTTTTTTCAATTTTTATTACAGCCGATATTTTATGACAAATGCTATAGTGACTACGTCCTATAAACCCTTCTCATGAAAAAAATTTCACAGCCGTCGACCGCACAACGACGCCGTTGTTCTAAGTGCTTATAGCATGACGGGTCCAGATTTGGTGTGTATTAAGTTTGATTCTCTTAAATTATATTGATTGTTTGCTTGTTTTCTTTCTAGATTTTTTACTGTATTAAGTCGTAAAGTTCAAAAAATCACAAATATTATTTTGAAGATAATTTCAATATTTAATTTATTATTATTTGTCTTTAGAAACGTTTCATCAAAAAAATGAATAAATAAAAAATAATAACGGCAAAAGAACAAGAAAACCTGTTTAAGATATCTATAATATTAATCGATTATGGTACACAAATTATACGTTATCAACTTATAAATAATAGAAATTTGATGAATGGAGACATTTTTACTTTTTTAAAAAACAAAACAAATGCAATAAAAAATGATCCTAATTTAAAAGATGTTAAGAGCAAAATATCGAAAATAAATTCTGATTTTCCACATGGAGATCCAATAGATAATTTATTTATACCAGATAATTTAGATAAATTTGATTTATCATCTTGTTATAACATATTATGAAATTTAACTAAAGAGAGACCAGCGAACGGCTGGTAGGGTAAAATCGATCTAAACGATAAATCATTAGCTGCTAATTTTGATCGATTACGGTTAATACGTAATGTAAGTTTTGGTTATTTAGTTGCATTTAAGTTGAATGACGATGATTATGATTATTATAAATATAAACTAAAACAAATAATTATCGATCTATCTGATCAAAATATGAAAAAAGATTATGAAAAGAAAATCGACTCTGTATTATCGTCATCCTATAGTGACAAAGAAATATTTAAAAGATATAGAGAAGAAATAATTGATTTGATGATAGGACGTAAGAAAGACTTGATTAAAGAGATCGAAGAGTTAAACATTAAAAACATAAATAAAATTAAAGAAGAAATTCAAAATCTTTATGATCTCTTAAAAAATTCAAACGACAATGATGAAATTAGAAAATAATTGAGAATAAAGAAGTAATAAAGTCGATGGTATCAAAACTGGATGAGATAAGTTCAAGTATATCTGAAGTTAAAAGACAAAATAAAAATTTAGAGCACGGCCAAGAAATACATATAAATTTGAGTAAGAATATAGAAAATAAAACTGATATATTAACACAAGAACAGCTTAGAAGCCAAAATAAATATTTAACAACCATTTCAGAAATAAGAAAAGGTATTTCGGATTTGGGAGAAGATAAAACATTAATACGATTATCAAGCAGTATACCGAACGAAAGCATAAAACATTTTATACAAAAAGAAACATTATTCAAGGATATAGAAGAAATATTTTCAAAATCAAATAAATATGTTATTATCAGCGGTTATGCTGGCTCGGGTAAGACAACACTTGCATCAAAATACAGCCATGAACAAAGAGATGAGAATAATAAAACAGTTCGTTGGTTTAATGCTGAATCAAAAGATTTAGTTTGGAACGATTACAAAAATATGCAACAAAAGAGCTTAAAATAGGAAATGAAATAAATGAAAGACAAGTTAATATAAATTTGGTAAATAGTAGGTATGTTACAAACCCAAACCCAAGTCTGGACTTGGATTTGGGTATTGAGTCAGACTTGGGTTATTAAAAGACTCATTTTAACTGAGATACCTTCTTTTGTTGTGGCTCTTTGAGAAAACAGGATGTAAGATGTTTATTTCGGCCTGTGGGCATACGTAATGCCTTACGCTAACGATAAGAGCTCATTTTGGACTAGTTCAAATATCCAACAGTTGAATGTTTTATTCTACTTATCTTGTTCATATCATCCTCATCCTTGAAACAGAGAAACATACTAACAAAATAAGCACTGGCAACATGCCACAAATATGTTAACAAATGATCGGTGAACACTATAAAAAATGATATAAAAGAATAGGGAAAACTAAAGCAAAAAAGTGAATTTTTGAAGTCGAAAACAGCGACGATGAAGAGAAAAAGATATATTTCCTCGTTAATTAATAATATTCTGAGTCTGCAGACATTTTTTTGTCAAAAAATACGCATAACCAATTTGGGTTTATATCTCATTCTTTTATGTATAAGTGATTTATTCAAGTGTATTTTTCAACAAATAGTCTTCGCTTTCGCCGTTAAACAATTATACCGTCATCCGGGTTTATATACGTCAAGATCGATTGTGATAATGTCAGATTACTTTTGTCTATTAACAAGCAGTTTTATCGCTGTTGAACGAGTATTAATTCAATGTTTCGATATCAATTTATATTCATCGAGAAAACGATCAGTAATAATCTCCTCGATGATATTTTTGTTTGTTTTATTAACTCAAATTTCTGTTGTATGGAGTTATGTACTCTCGTCAGAGCAATCATCAATTGTGAGATCAGTTTCTCTTGCAAATAAAATATTAAATTTTGCAGCACTGTTCGTTGCGTGTTTACTGCATTTCGTATCAAGTCTTTTTGTTCTAAGAAATATAGCAAAAAAACAAATATATGTCAGCATGCGCTCGGACTATTGGCATGTTTGGTACCAACAATTATCAAAACATCGAGATTTTTTCATTCCACCATTTTTCTACGTTATTTGTGCTTTACCATGGTTCTTGTTCACAAATTTCATCTACGATTGTACACGATAATCCAGTTTTCGCATTAAGTCTTCATATTGCACTCACATACCTCGCCAATACACCATTCACAATAACGTTCTTTATTTACGTTTATCCAAATAACGTTTATCTGTCCGAATTTCGTAATTTGTCTATAATTGGACGATATTTTACCCTCGGAAAGATAAACAGAAAGTCAGATTTAAATTTATCCTAGTGTTTGAGTCGGAAATAGATAAAAAGAAGTTCTCTTCTATTATCCACTATTATCCTATCAATAGCTTTTCTTCCCATGTTACTTATATCGTGTGTGTACAAATTGATGGTATAATCTCATATGTTAAAAGGATAATTGTGTATGGGGTTTTACTCTTATTACATATTTGTGAAAAAAAATAGTGCCATGTTGTATTATATTTCATCCCTGTTCTTTCAGTCGTTTCATTACAGTAACATTATCATAAATACCTAACCTGAGTTTTGAGTGTTTATTTATCCTGCTGAGATAAATGTCAAAATTGACTGAAATTTAGTATTTTGTATAGAACACAAAATGGAACTGTGATTTCTTTTACGCTCTGAAGAATATTTATTGAGTCATTCACAATATTGTTCTTAGGGATGCCGTCACAATGTTTATCGCTTTAATCGTTATAAGCCTTTTCTATATTTCGATAGATTTATTCACAGAAACGAAAAAAGAAAAGTAAGAAACGATACAGAGTGAACCAGAGATTTTGTTCCAGATACAAGCAGAGAATGAAAAAGGACGATATGATGTTGATATATGAGATATACGATAGATATTGCTTCTAACTGTGAAATTTGTTTTTCTTTTGATGCAAATGTACACTGCACTCACTACGAAATTACTCTGTATTCTGTCAACTTTTACAGATTAAGATAAAACCAACCTGAATGTATCCCTCTCCGTTTTCTATGTCAGTCTGAAGTACACAAGATATACTATACGCCGAGCCATTTTTTAGAAAAGGGTACAGCCCACTTTATGAGATACAGAGCTGTCAATAACGGAGCTGAATATGAGACAAGATGTACTTTTTCAGCCAATTAACAAGCGGAATCATTTCTTAAGAGGAGTTCTTGACTAGCATGACTTTCCGACTTTCTCTTCGGGCCATGGTAGTCTTAATTCTGCATCGTTATGTCTTCAGAGTTATGTAAAAGTAATATAATCGGGCTAATCAGAGGTATTTTTAAACACATCACATATTGTTACATAAGTAAGGCCAAATTGTTTGGAATTCATCAGTTATTATCAGTAATGATAAATTATCAATATTTGTTATTCAACATTTCTTACGTCTATATCTGGCTTCTATATCTGTACAGAACTTTATTTCTGTTTATAGAAAAGAACGAATTTTCTATTTTAAATGAGATATTCATTTATTAATGTCCAGAAGAAGCAATGCTCATCCTATATTCTGTCAACTTCGAGAATCAGAGTTAAATTAACTAGGGATCCATTTTCACTTCTTATATGAGTTTAAAGTGCACAAACTGTACTATATACTGATGTATTTTCCAGAAAAAGTGTGTTTTTAATTTTCAAAAAACGAAACATTCATGTCTATATAATCCACGCACTAGTTCAGCTAGATGAAACTTTGATGTTTTCTTCTTTCTAGGCATACTATAGAGACCCAGATATAAAGCAAGGAATGGAGAAAAGAACAAATTTTATCATTTTATCCAAAAGAAAGATTCCCTTCACTTTGAAATTAGTGTTTATTCTGGCAACTTCTCAGAGTAAAAAGTTAACAAATTTGAAGTTACCCTTCCCCAGTTTTTCTGCCAATTTGTGAAGTACACAAGTTGTACTCTATGCCAAGCTATTTTTGGAAAAAGGCCTCTTTTAGCTTTTAACATATAGAGATCTCAATATCACAGATTAAAGTTAGTAAAATGCATGGATTTCACTTCAATTTTAGAAATTATACAAATTTGGAATGACTTATAACTCATAACTTTCTTGATCACTTTTCGGAACATCATAGTCAGAGAAGCCCAAGTTCTACATCTATTTTTCCATTGAAATCACTAAAATTAAATGGAAAAGGATCCATTTTACTAACTTTTGTCTTTGATATTGACAGCTACATTTATTAAAAACTAAAAGAAACCTTTTCCCGAAAAATATGGCAAACATATTAGAATTTGTTTACTTCAAATTAGTGTAAGAAGTAGGCCTCTCTAATTATTCCAGTTTTAATTAGCGACGTGAGCAGCTACTAAGTTTTGTCTTTGATTTTGAAAGCTCTATTTAAAAAAAAATTTTTATTCTCTTCGATCATACAATTTTTAATTCTGATTCTTTTTTTGTATATGAGCACACAACACGTTTTCTCTTTAACGAACAAAGTAAGGAAAAGACTGAATTATCGAAGGTGTCCCAGCTCTAAATTCATTCTGTATTCTGCTCAGGTCGCTAATTCAGGCGCTAATCAGTAAAGCATTTTGGACAAATTGTTGAATTAGTATAATTTTCATGATATATGGATAGATTGAAGGAAGTCATGACAGTAAAGAAGAAAACAGTTTGTACGTGAATTGGCAAGTAAATATACTTTTTTTCCTCGTTATGCAGTTTTAGGGAAGCAGAACAGAAAAAAAAAATAGTGCCCACTTTACTATTTATCAGTACATTCATGTGCATGGAACGACGAAAAAAGAAACATGATAAACCGTGAAATGTATATTTTTAAGTGAAGGAAAGGAAACGGACAAAAAATCTGTATATAAATAAGTCATTTTCAGGTGTAATGAAAGCCGGAAACCTCTTTTACCCCCAAAATATGAGTCATTGGTAGAGGGAGTAGACGGGTCTCAAAAATGTTACGTGTTTGTGCGTCTTCAGGAGCCTCTACATTCTATCGGAATTTGAGCCAATCGGTCTCGCGCTATTGTAGAGCGAAAATTCATCTTTCCGGGATGATGTGTCCTTGTTTCAGTAACCGTCGAACCAAGTGTATGAAACTACTTTCTTTTCTAATCATGAAAACTTCGTTTTATCATTCAAAACTGAGTTCATTTTAGTCAGATAATCGCTTTTGTTCGTAATCACTATCTTGGCTTTTATCCGGTCTGGTAATAATGATAGATCTATTGTCATGTAACCGTTGCAATATCTGTTGTTAGACGTTTCAACATTTTGCTTGCTACTTACTAAAAATATTCGTTTTTTCCTATTAATAGACAATATCAAGCGAAAAAGCAAGTTATGGACTTTTATGAATTTTAAATGGACTTACGAGGGAACCTTCGCGAATGATTAAGCCAATTTGAGTTGATATTTTGTCGAGTAACAGGGTCAATGATGGTAAGAAAGAGCCTAAGTGGATTTGGGCGCATGTAGTCTGGTTGCGGGGTTATGAATGATTTAATTTATTTCTATATAGGAAGTTAATATTCGCTTAGGTATTTTCATATTCTATCATCGGTACGATTTTAACAACTGAAAACCTTTTTACAAGTTCATCTAGGTAGCATCTAGTTATCCTGAAAATTTCATGTTTACATCTCCCGTGCCCAAAGAGAAATTAATTTTTCGTTTCTTAAGCCATTGGTGTATCCTTCTTATTTTTCTCATATCTCAATACCGAAACGATTTCCAGTGCTGGAATTCTTTTGGCAAATGCACCTCACCTGCTCATTATCTAACAGTTCGGGAAAACTCACGAGGGAATCTTGCCAAGTGTCCCCTCCGTTTTCGTTCATATTGTGCCTGTTTGATAGAGGACAGTGTCCTGGTATACGATCCAGGGGCGTTTATGCTAATTTACGCTATCTCTATAGGTGTGTTATAGTGAAGATTGGTTGGTCAACGTTTGAACCTGTTTGGGACTTTGGAAACTTTTGAAACTTCATTGAACC